TTGGTTCACGTAGATGATACCAGCACAAGGATTGATCACTCAATCCTAGAGGGTTAGAGGATCAATTCAACAAGCTGGTTCATGTTGATGAGACCAGAGCAAGGATTGGTCACTCAAACCTGGGTGGTTAGAAGCTCAAGTCCACAAGCTGTTTCGCGTAGATGATACCAGCACAGGGATTGGTCCCTCAATTCTAGGTGGTTTGAGGCTCAAGTAACCTGCTGGTCCAGCCATTACTGAGACTAGAGCTATGACGTTTATACTCTTACGTCCATCAGCTGGTTCAAGTTGCTGAGACTAGAGCTAGAATTGGTTTAAAAGTATGCCTGGAAGGTTACATGCTTATTAAAGTCCACCTGCTGTTTCACATTGGATACATGAACAAGATACTTCCTCATCATTTGCCTCAATCTATGCTTGTGATGAAAGCATAATAGATGGGGTTCTTACTGAAATACTTACAGAAATGTAATGAAGACTCTTCATCGTCAGGGATTTACGATGACTTGAAATAAGAAAATGGACCCACAAAAGACAACAACAGTGAACCCCGGTTGGGAAAGATGAATGTAACACAACTGGATCAAATGTGCCCGTAATATTTAAACACAAACTTCACCAGTCAAAGATCAAGCTTATCTTCTGCTTTGACTACAACATGTCAGTCTCTCTCTGGTTTTGAATCCAATGAGATCAAACTGTGCAAACTATCCCAACCGTTTTTACACTCTCAATAAACTTTGACAACCACTTTAAGATATGAAATGCACGTCTAACTTCCTAATGGTTGTAAGCTAATTACTAAGGTGGTTAGGATTCATCTCAAATCTCATCCGGGAAAAGTTGGGGATAAACTTTGTGGAGTGTTGTGGTGAAATGTTGAAGGCTTTTGAAAAAAATTCCCAACACAATCTCCCCAGAATGAAGTTATCAGTACTTGTATACAAATCCCCCCCCCACTCTGCAGTTTTGGCCAGGCAGGCCACTCAAGGACACCTGTGGTTTTGATGACAGAAGAGCCACAGGCAAAGGACTGCACTCCTTACACAGAGCTTTTTAAAACTTCTCTAACTGTATCATTTGGAATAAATATGCATCGACCCTTTCGTGAAATACAAGGCTTTTTCAGGTTTTTTTCTTTTGCTGGAAAGCTACGGTCTTACTTTAGGCAAATACAACTTTATTGGTATTTTATCTGTTGATGTTACTGCACAAAAGGGCATTAACAAGAAGAGATCATGTATTGTCCCTTTATTTCAGAAAATCTTCCTGTAATATCATTTTTATTAGCCAAAAAATTTGAAGCATATTGTTGCTTTGCATTTTATTATCTCTTGATGTGAAATACTGAAAATCTGTAACAACAATCGTGATGAGACAATGCTGGCTATGGAACCTTTAAAAAAAATCAAAGTAAACACTTCTAGTTTTGAGTTCAGAACTGAATGGATATGGAGGTATAACAAGGGGCAGAGGTAATGCAACTTGTGCATTTAACGAGCGAATGAAGCAATATAAGCAGAGGGACTGACAAAAGTCTGTATTTTTTTTGCCAAACAGCTATCTGATTCAGTGAACACATGACCACAGAGAAAGTCATAGTTTGAGTGACCCAAGGTCAGTCTCTGGAAAACCACTTAGAATACTGACCACCTACTACTAGCCCACGGGTAATGTAAACAGTCCTTCACTGTAAGTGACCTAAATGTACTAATGCAAAATTCCTCAACAACTTCCCCTCAATAAATGCACAGCTATTTTCAGGGAAATTGTGGAGAAAGGATTCACTTTCCCCACAATTGAAATAAGAAAACGGACCCACAAAAACGGACCCACCAGTGAAAAGGATTCACTTTCCCCACAATTTTACCGCAACTTGTCCCGGATGAGATCTAAGATGAATCTTTAACGATAGTTTAATTAACATCACCTGAATGATGGATGGTTTGGAACATCTAGTCAATGGACTGATCTGTGGACGAATTCCCAGACTTCAATGCCCCTTCCAAAAGTTTTCCACAAATCTGAATTAGAAAGAAAAGATCCAGATTTAATACTTTTACTAGCGATAACTAAAGAATCAACAGATTATATATAGGATCGATCAACTGAAAGCAGAGCAGGATGGAATGATAGCACAGATCCATCAAACACACCAAAGCAATGTCTGTACATGTACAACACGGTGGTGCAATCAGACAAGGATCCGAAAAATAAAACATACAACATGAGATAGTGTGAATGTTGATGTCCAAGAAAATGATATTCCCCGACTCAACACTCATTTTGCTCTTAGTCCCAAGTAGATACTAGAGTGCTTGATGAGAAAGCAAGCTAGGTTTGGTGCAGAGGTGGTCTTTTGACAATGCAAAGGCCGCTTCATATACTTCAGGTGAATACAACAGCAAAGTAAAGGCATTACTACAAGCGCCCTCCCCCGAGATAAAAGTAAGTGAAATTTCTCACCTTAGCTGTTACCGTCAACTTGCAGACTGCATTTCAGTGATGTGTTGTGATTCCAACAGGTGCCACATGGTGTCAGAGTCAGGATATTCACAAGTTCAGCAGGCAGAAAGGTAGACGAGTCAGGATACTCAATCATGTGACATGAGTCAGGCATCAGTGCTGTGAATGTAACAAGAAAAGAAGCCGAGACCAGCATAAGGTTTGATTATTCAATCCTGGGTGGTTAGAGGCTCAAGTCAACAAGCTGGCTCATGTTGTTGAGACCAGCACAGGGATTGATCACTCAATTCTAGATGGTTAGAGGCTCAAGTCCACCTGCTGGTTCATGTTAATGAGAACCAGAGCAAGGATTGGTCACTCAATTCTATGTGGTTAGAGGCTCATGTCCAAAAAGTGGTTCATGTTAATGGGACCCTGAGCAAGGATTGGTCACT